AGAGATTCTCTCAGGAGAAAGAAACAGAAATATACTTACTACAGTGAAATATACTCACCCGTCGCTAACTTCTCAGTCTTAAGCTTCATGTTAGCCACAGGCGCTGGCGTAGCATGCGCGACACATAGACATCAAAAACGCGTACTTAAACGGAAAGCTCGAAGAGGAGCTATACACGAGGACCATCCCTGCTCAAGATCGAAAAAGGAAAAGTGCTTAAGCTCGAACGATCCATATACGAACTAAAACAATCCGGAAGAAGGAATATGGAAATCAACGAATACTTAATCGAAAACGGATTTTAAAGACTACATTCGTCGAGTTGCGTGTACCGCAAAGACAGTCGGACAATCATAGTAATATACGTCGACATTTTCATATTCTCCAAGAAAAAGAATGCTCTGAGGAAAGTCACACAGCTCATCACAAACTGCTGTCAAGTTAGAGATCTTGGCGACATCACCTACGCTTTAGAAGTGAAGATCCAACGAAATAAAAACGATGGCAGTCAAAGTACGACTGAGTCAAAAAGCATACATAGAATTAATACTCACAAAATGTGGACTAAACGAATGCTTCAGCTGCGACACTTCTCGAACACGGGCAAAAGATATCGAAAACGGACGACGCTAAATCATCGGAGAAGATAGAAGAGGTGACCAGAATGCTGGCAACTTATAAGATCATTAATGCATCTGGCTCTCTATACAAGGCCCGACATAATGCACGCAGTAACCAAATTATCCCAATTCAACGCGAATCCTGGCCGAGCACATTGAGCACAGGCAAAGCACTATACTACGCCACCTGAGCGAAAGACTACGCGCTCCTGTACCAAGCTGGACAAACACCTATAATTCGGATCCACAGTGACGCAGATTGGGCAGGCTACATCGACACTCATATACTAATGTGACGACCACTCTATGGAAAAACTTGGTACAATGGAAGTCAACAAAACAGAAGTGCATAGCCACCTCGAGCATAGAAGCAAAATATGTCGCCCTGGCGACAGGAATTAAAGAAGCCATGTGGATACAGATGTTCATCATCGAACTTGGTCTATTAGACTTATCATTCCAAGAATGCGAACTATAATGCGACAATCGAGCAGCGATCGATTTTTCAAAAAACCACATCGAGAAAGAGCGCATTAAACACATTGACGCATACCACATCGTACGAGAATCTGACTGACATTTTGACGAAACTGTTGAGACGTGTCGTCCATCGCGGAGGTATCCAGAGACTCTAGATTGGACATCACACAGGGAACTGAAGGGATTCGTGACATCAAATCACGCGGCGACGTCGACATCACAACAGGCGCTGTTGCGCCTTATGCACACCATCTAGTTTTTTTCCCACATCACACACTTCTTATATCTCTTTCACCACTGTGTACCTCTTGCGTGCTTTTTGCTCGGACACAATAAAACGCCCCACGCACCTACTTCGTGTTACCCTTTTTATTCGACTTTTTTCCCATTCATTAGGATATTCTGATTTCAAAAAAATAATTTTTTTTTTAATTAATTTTTTTTAAACTTAAATTAATTCAATCTCTTTTTTTGTTGGCGAGGGGATATGTGGGACTTGCATCCACGAAAACCTCTCAAAGTGTCCACCATCAGGCCTCGGTAGTGGGCGCCTTGAAGATCGCATGCAGCATTACTTCCAAAACGACCTTCAGATCCACCAGCTAAGGCTGATTCTGTCCCACGCAGAGGATGGACATCTTATAAAATTTTTTTCTATTACTATCAAAAATACAGTGTTTTATGTGCATGAAAATCGGGCACATTTGACAGTGCTGTAGCAGCCAGGCTGACAGATCTAGCTGCTACTATAGATATGGAGAGCCGGGCCATGAGCGTCTGCACCGCCTCAGTACGCTGTCCGGGTGCGTAGAGGTGGTAGTACGGCCGCACATCGGATCGGCCCAGCTAAGGCGCGAGTGACGCATGTCAAGAGAAGAAAGGAAACAAAAGAGCTGATTGCCAAGAACCCAGCATTGGGGCACGGAGGCCATCGGATCCTACCTATCCTGATGCAGTTATGATCATTGATCTTTTTAATCGCCTGAGCGAGTATGATGACGTCGACATTGACGTCGGCGCCACGACAGTCCCCGAGAGAGACTCGTGCCTGGCATCCAACTTAAGTTAAAAGAGAATTCAGTGAGTAGCTACCGGCTTTGAATATCAGAGTAAAATCATTGACTGTCGAATTGCAATCACTGAAACGTATATAACAAGGGGGATTCTAAGCCATGGGTCTAAAGGGGGGACACAGGGAGTACTCGTGGGGGAGAAGGCGCGGGGGGGAAGGTGCGGGAAGTAATCATTAGCGCGGAGAAGGGAGGGAAAGGCACGGGAAAGTCCCGGCACTATCGGTGTTTACATAAACATAGGACCCCGTTTAATGGAACATAATATGGGTGATAACGTTTCGTTCTTCCCAAAAATGCATCGGTAACAAAGGTTTGCATACACTTATCGCATATATTTACTATCTCTCTTCCTCTTATGTGTCATCTTTCCACGTTCCCGTTGAATCTTCTTTTCGCACACAAAAATATTTTATCATACGTTTTTTTATTTAAAGATTTAAATAGAGCGAATGCTTAATACGGGCACAGTACCATCAAGTGCGAAGATGCTGGCGGCGCGCGTATATGATAACGCTGCGATAATTAGAAAGAAATGAATAATGTCATGCACCCAAATATATAGTCATAAATATGCATTTATTTTTATAACGTAGTTTTACAATATTAGGTGTTGGAATTAATTCGTAGCGTTTTACAAGTGATGGGAAGTACTTTCATTAATGTATTTTTTAATGCTCATGTGAAATAAATAACATTCTTTCATTAAAAAACGCTACGAATTAATTCCAACACAGTTCTTACAATATTTATAAGCAGGAACTTAAATTTAATTTAATTTATTTAGTTAATTTTAAATCAAATTTTAAGCACCTGCTTCCGATTAGCAATAAAATGTACATTTATTTTTCACACTATTTGTACGTAAATATGAACATACATATGAATATACATATGTATGAATGTACGTATGCACATTAAGTATTTACGTATATACGTATATTCAATAATGCATATTTTACTTATTGCGGAGCGCTGAATCACTTATGGTCGCAGACGTTCTCTCGCATTTGCGTGGTCTCTCAGCCTTCCTGCAGTGCTATTATATGCTACTGATTTACTACTTGTCTACTACTATCGTATTCAGTCTTGTTTTCAATTTTCAATATTAATATATCTTAAATTTATGTTACATCATGTTACGTTTTTATATTCTGTAATCCAACTTTCGTACTATATTGTAAATTTATGTTTTATATTCGCTTTTATGCTTTTTACACTGTAATTCTTTACTTTCATTTTCTGATAAGAGTTAGAGCAGCAGACTTTACCGATGCCTCATCATTTTGTACACTTAATTTTTCTCGTTTAACTCTGTAGTCGTTTTTGTTATTTTATAGATAATGCACAAATAAATTAAATTTAAATTAAATTAAATTAAATATGTACGTATGCATATTAAGTACGTACGTACATACGTACACATTGTATGTACGAATGAACGTATGTATAAATTTTTTTAATATTACCATTTAAAAGTTAAATAATTAATATTAATAACGAATGAGTAAAAATCCACTACAAACATCTGGACCTTAATCGGGTCACTTTCAATACAAATACAGACAAATTATGATGTTACAAACTAAAATACGAATCCGGCAATGATTGTGTGTCATTTTGTTTATTTGATCCATGTATTGCTTTTTTCACGTGGATCTTTGAAATCTTTCTGATTGCAGAATTTGTTACAATACGCGTTGCATATAATGCAAAATTGTCATAACTTGGTACAGGTCTAAAGCCGTCAACTACGTTTTTTATGTTCAAAGTGAAACATTGCGTGGAGCACATATACTTTGAACTGTGTCAATATGTAAATAGTATGAGTAAAAAATTAAATAATTTTTTATACCAAAAGTTGTATTATCAATAAATTCAGTATTGTAAGTACTTTTCACAAAAATTTATGATAAAACTTCTATTATAGAATGTGAATAATTTGTGCTTTAAATAATATTGTAAACCAACAACTGAGTGAACATTGTTTTTCTAGGGAACATATATGACACAATTATAATATAACATTTTATAATACTATTAATAATATTATAGGTTTAGCCATGATTGCGTTTCAAGATTGGAGAGAATTTTATTGCTCAGTTTATGGAATTGTCTAGTGTACTTATATAAATTCATACCGAAATATTTAGGTAATAAAATCAACTTTGGTCGATTATAGGATTTTATTTACTTAACTGGTGGAAATAAAATTTATTTATCTAATTATAAAAATTTTATATATTTCTCAAATTTTAACAGGTTTATGAAATGTATTACATGTTTACGATAAGCTCAGAACCGCTTAAGAACCTGGATAAATTCCACCAAATATACGATCAGTGTTGCCACCTTATAGGAATACACGTAACCTTTAGTTTATTTAACCATAAGCTATGTGTAATGAAACAGTGTAAATAGTTGACTATCGAGTTAATTTAACCTTTTTGTTAGTCATATAATGTGAAATCGATCCTTAAGTGTGGATGTAAGTTGGACTTCGCTTCACGTGGAAAATTGAATGCTCCTAAGCAAGGAATAGATAGCTACAAGGAATAGGGTTTATCTAACTTTGGAAAGTTATATTGAATTATTTGTGATAATTAAAATTTAAATTATACAATTAAATACACATTTATATTATCAACTTTATTTGTAAATGATCTTTTTGAACAAATGCGTGGGCTAAAACCTTCTTAAGTTCAGTACCGTCATCATGACAATAAACGTCAAGGTCATCAGAGGTGAATTTGTTATTTTCACATTTACCTTAGTTAATATGTATCAATCAAAATGCTTCTATCAATATAAATATTTTATCATTTCTTAGGACGATCTTTACAGAGAAGAATGTGGCCCAGATTTACCCCTTAGATGTTATGTTGGAGATATATCATCTCGTCTAGGCCCTATTAATATTGGAGAAAAACGACAAATATTTACAGACCTCAATTTTCCTCTGGATGGACCGGTATCCGCAATGGGCAAATCTATCATAATTTTTGATAAAGATTTTAGTGGGACCAGATTCGCCTGTACAAATATTGAGCCTGATAATAATATCGTTAAATATGCAAATATTAGGAAACCGCCGCGATTTGTTGTGTAAGTTCTACTTATCAATTATTTACTACACTATATAAGATATTGTGTATATCAAGCAATGCGATGACAATACCACTAACATTGAAACATGGCTCACATGTTACTCTTGTTTATATATAATATATAAGAAAATATATAATAATCATTTGACATGATTAAATGTCAGTCAGCATTTTACTACCAAAAATTATACGTCCGAGATATCCTTTAGGGATATTCGCAAGAGTCAGATCGAGTCACCGTAATGCAATGGAAGAAGCTCTGGAGGAATCGTATCATGATTCCTGATCACGGTAGCCTCTGTGCCAGGCAAATATTAATGTTTTGATTTTAAGACCGTTTTATACTCAAAATTTGTAAAATCAAAATAAAACTCACAGAAAAATAAAGGAAAATTCCATCTACTTATTAAAAATAGTATTGAAAGAAACGTTTTACTTGCATTTTGAATTATATTTATAACAATAATTTGGCTAATTAGATAGATTTTGTATCTAAATTTTGAGCAGTTAGTTTGTTATTAATGATGCGCATATACTTCTAAATGTACTTGGCATACATTATTTACTTTTGCAAAGCAAAAATCAATGTAAAAAAAAATAAATAGATCTTTGCTGATATTTTCTTGTCTTTGCAGAGCACAATTCTTAGAGGATGTAAGAAAAGTGATGGGTATTCCTGAGTGGATGTTATCCATTGACAGCAGAAAAACCAGAATTCTACATAATGGCGCATGCATTCAATTTCTTTTGCATTTCAAAGGTAAGTATTGACCGCGACTTTATCTAAATATCCAATGCCAATTTGTTTCCCTTGAAATTTATTATTAAGCATCAAAATCTAAGAACCAATTATATTTTTATAAATGTGAACAAAATTTTCAAATGAAGATTATTTTAATATATATATCGAATAGGGGAGCCCATCCCGATGATCTTAACATATACGAGAGCAAATCAATAAGTACCCGTGTTAGTAATGAAGACGCAAGCTTTTCACAAAAATTTTTTTTATTTTTTAATGTAATCCCCTTTTAGGAGGACACACTTTTTCCAACGCTTCTACCATTTTTTTAACCCCTCAGAAAAATACGATTTGTCGAACTCTGTAAAATAGGCCTTTGTTTCGGCGATGACCTCCTCATTCGACGTAAATTTCTTTCTACCGAGCCATTTTTTCAAGTTTGGAAACAAAAAGAAGTTACAGAGGGTTAAATTCGGAGAGTACGGTGGATGCGGTAACAATTCGTAGCGCAATTCGACCAATTTGGCTGTGGCGACTGCGGAGGAGTGAGCCGGTATATTGTCCTGATCGGGCCGACAGCTTTTTCATTCCCAAGTTATCATACAAAATATTGAATGCCGTTCCGTACGATACGCCTACGCTACTTTATGCACTTTCGTTCGGCAATCAGCGAGAATCATGTCGTGGACTTTTTCAACGATTTCCTCAGTAACCATGTCTGTCGGGCGGCCTGAGCGCTCATCAAAGATGAATGACTACGTTTGAATTCGTTGAACCAATATTTGACGGTTGTCATAGATGGTGAAGAGTTCCCATAGATGGCATCCAATTTTGTTTTTATTTCTTCGCACATTTTTCCATCCAAAAATAAGAAACGAATCACGGATCGATATTGCTCTTTTTCCATTGTATCGGAAAACATCAAACACGCTTATTATGAATTGCTGTCAAATCAAGACTATTGCATGAATCACTCTGAAATTTTGTATGGCGTCGTTTGAAAGATGGTAGTAATGCCAACACGATGGTAATGCCAACTTGATGGTAATGCCAACTTGCATCAGCAACGTCGCCTGTCTTGAAACACGGGTACTTACTGATTTGCCCTCGTATTGTCATATCAAGGTCATTACCCCGAGTAATCTCTGATAAGTTTTAATCGTCATTCATTACTTGTTAAAAAATTATTAATAAAAGTAGTTTATAAAATAACACGTAGAGGAGATGGAATGGACCTCGCTTCGGCGTGAAAAGTCACGTCCCGTGGCAGAGAAGAGATGCGATGAAAGTTGTTTTGCATGGAAAGTCATAGAGGAAATTGCAGTGATAGTGGGAACTATCCATAGCGAGTAATTGTGCGCATCCTACACTGAGAAAAAATGTTTGGTATTTGTAACTATAATTATATATTACTATGAATATGATTGTTACTGCTATAATAATAATAACAAATTATGTGTAGTTCTATAACAACAAATGTATAGTTGGCGACTTAAATTATCCGCATGCATAATTGCACTGAGAGAAAAATGTTTGATATTTATAACTGTTACGTCATGTCTTGTAACGTATTTAGATATTTTCACGTTTACGAATCATTATGTTAAAATGCAGCGGTTCTCGTTATCCTATCGCTGTCATCAGAAATATGTTGCAAATTCTCATGTTAAGAATAGCTAATAGTTGCGGATTGAATATTTTTGCATTATAATGTACGACGCGTCGCTGCCAAGCGCGGAGTGAGAGGGGAGAGAGAGAGAGAGAGAGAAAGAAAGAGACAGAGAGAGAAACGTACTGGCGCACGAGCAGGACATAGGATTGAAAGAGTGGCGGAGTGGTTATGATCAGAGGAGATATGATCAGAGTGGTATAAAGCGAGTCTCAGGTCGAACGGCAAACCATGACTGTTAGCGCCGACGTATCGCATACTACATGAGTCCTTTATGATAATTGATCTATTATAATTTTGACTTAGAATTTTAAATTAGTAGTTATTGTCCTCCTGAAATGGAATTCGATATAGTTCTTTATCAATATAAGACATTGTGAATTATTTGATTGAATAATTTAGAAAATGGGCGAAATTCTGCCATCATCGCTAATGGTTCAATGAATAATTATAATAGTAACAAAGGTTAAATTGATTAGTGTTCATTTAGTAAGAGAAAATCGATAATGAATCCGAGCAATTCAAGCCGTTTCATATCATACCCTTCGGGGGAGGGGGGGGATAGAGAAATGTTGGAGGAGATTGAATGAAAGTTGAATGTAACGCCATATATATATAAAGTTAAATTACTGAACTGGTCGACACGCTGGTTATATTGAAATTGACTTGGTTGGTCATTCTAAAATGTTTTTGTTTAATAAATTACCGACGCGGTTGGTTGAATAATATCATTAGAAAAACAGAATTGGAAATAAATTGCAGAAGAACAGATAGTAATGAAGGAAAGAATTGAGCAGCTTCTACGAGTGCGGTCAATTCCGAGAAAGGACAGACTAAGTAGCTTCTACAAGCGCGATTAGTCCGTAGGAAAAGGGGAGCGAGCTGAGCAGCTCCTACGAGCGGTCAGCTCGAGGAAAGAAGGAGCTTGAAAGAAATTAACACATATGTACTTTCTTCTTTTCTTTGTATATATTGCGAATATTGAAAGATATTCCACCAGTGTTTCGATCAAGAATGACTTGATCGCGAATAACGAATGACTGCCGAATGAATCCCTTGACTCGATTTTTGTCCCGTTTATATAAGCATCAGTCGGTGACGCTCGCGAATCAGGAGAAAGGGGGAGCTTGAATTTCCCAGAATTGGTAATACGTGCCGAATTTGGAAAATGATTTTTTACATGGAAATATTAATTACATCGGGCTGAAATTCGACACGGTTGCCACGAATTCAATTTGGAACTGACGGATCAAATTAGTTTCGCGTTAATTGATGGAATTTTAAAGTAATTAACAAATTAAATTTTGGGTTTTTTTCCGTGGTCCGCGCTGCTCCTTCCCCAACTCTCGATCGGCATTCGCTAACGCGACAAATTCGCGTTTACTTATCTATTTCAGGCTAATTAAGGTCACGATGGCCAAAAAATAATAAATCAAACCAAAAATGTATTAAACGCAAGATTTCGAAATTAATAGTATTCTCGGCCAGAGCGACTGAAATCCCACATAAGAATTCGGAGCGACGAGCGACACGCGCGTCGCGGACCATGATTGGTACGTGATAGTTTATTCTTATTCTGAGAGATATAGGCGTTAAAATGTTTCGATCGGATTAGTTTTTCTTAAACCTTGTGTAGGATGACAATGACATGACAGTCCCAACAAATGGGAACGATTTCTTAACTCCATGTGGAGTTATCCTGCCTGGAATTTCATCGCAATATATCGGCACGCGCTTCACGGATGCTTCGATTGGGTCACGCGATACACGTGTCACGCGGTGTCGGCATGACAGAATTATATGCCTAAATTTCTCGCTAGGAATATTCGCAATTAATTAACAAAAATTAGACGATTAGATAGACGATTAGATAAATAACGAAAAATAATTCAGCGCGAAACGAAAAGACAAAAAACAAAGTAAAATTTATATTTTTACGGAAGGCAGGACGTAATAGTAACTATAATTATATATTACTACATTTATAATTGTTATTGCTATAATAATAACAGTAATTATGTGTATATAGTTCTAGCAACAAACGTATATAGTTGGCAACCTAAAATGACTATAATTATAGTTATTATAATTATAGTTATAATCATAAAATAGTTGAAATTATCATAAAAATGATTCAAGTGACTATAATTATAGTTATAATTTAAGACAACTACATTTTTTATGGTTGCTCCAAAATATTACTGTAAAATTATAGTCGCTTGAATCATTTTTGTGGTAATTTTAACTATTTTGGTTATATAATAATAATTATATAATAATAATTACTATATATACTATTAATCATTTTAGATTGCCAACTACAATATATATTTGTTGCTAAAACTATGTACATAGTTATTGTTATTATTATAGCAATAATAATCATAATTATAGTAATATATAATTATAGTTACAAATACCAAACATTTTTCTCTCATTGTGGGGGGTTTGGTATTTTTCCAATAGATAAAGACCATCATCACCGTGGTGAAATTTTTACGCAGAGAAGATATCATCCTGTTAAGATAACTATAAAAGATATGACGTAAATACATTGCTAATCAGAGAAATACATAAAAGTAATATTACATCTTTTCTTGTTATGTTAGCATTCAGAAAATAAGATGATATTTTTAATGTGTTTGTTTAAAGTTGTATACGTATTAAAGTATGTTATTATGTGCATCTTTTGAGTTGTTATTTATTAAGTTTAGTTAAAAATTGTTGAAATAATCGTATTTCATATCGAATTCGGTCGCGGCGGGCAACTATGCGCAAGCGTTTTGAAATGCGCACAATTATCCATTTTCCATATACTACATGATTAGCACTAATTTTTTCATTTCTTCTTTGTATTATTATTTTATTTTGCCATTTCATTTTGTCAAAGTTTATGTGCATTATTATTATATTAGTTTTGTATTTTTTTTAAATATGTACAATATATATTTAAAATGGAATAAAAAATGCTCGTATGTTTTCTTAAAAATTAACACAATGTCATGATTTATTTCGAGCTTTAATTAAATTAATTTTGAATTAATATAATTAACAAACGTTTCGGCTTACAAAATCTTCCTCAGTGCTACAACGCAGAAATACAATCTTAAATTAATGCACAAAGAATAACGGATACACTGAAAATTTAAAAACCATCAATGCGAAGTGTCAAAATATAAAAAAATATAAAAAAATTTCGAACGTCAATAAGTATTCGCCAGATGATAATAAGGTAGGAACATTTGGATACTTCAGTCAATAGCAGATTATGTTTATCGATAAAGATAGATTTGCCAAATTCCTCGGTTGAGATCGAATCCAGTTTGTCACAGACTTGTATCATATGATCTGAGAATTCTT